GCATTTTGTAATACATTTTTGAGGGAAAACATGAAATAGTACATTAAAAACTTAAACGTGTTTGTTGATAGCATAAACATAAGCATATAAACTACATAGCGCTTTCTTCTTCAGTATCACTCTCAGAATTTGAAACCGACTCTTTTACTCTGGATCTAAAAAATCCGAGTAAATCACTTTTGACTGTTGGCGCCTACTCTGAGCATTGGAGAGACTGGCCACGTTTTCTGCTTGTGCTCCTGACTGACCTTGGCACCTGTAAGATTGGTCTTACTCTGAAACATACTGCCAAATACAGAGGCTTATGCTGCACTTCCTATTTGGTTAAAGTTTTTTTTTTATTGTTCCACCCTTTCTCTTAAAAGTCAGCTGTCTGGTGCAGGGCAGGTTAATGATCACCAAAATATACAAACCTCTTTTTTTTGAGGCAGTCTTACTTTATCACCCTCAGTAGAGTACTATGGCATCATAGCTCACAACAACCTCAAACTCCTGAGCTCAAGTGATTCTCTTGCCTCAGCCTCCTGAGCAGCTGAGACTACAGGCACCCGCCACAACGCCAGGCTATTTTTAGAGATGGGGTCTCACTCTACCTCAAGCTGGTCTTAAACTCCTGAGCTCAGGTGATCCACCCACCTCGGCCACCCAAATTGCTGGGAACCCAGCCCATAAACCTCTTTTAACTTGAAATTTCTCTAAAATAATATATTATATTCTGAATGCCTTTCATTGCATTGCCTGGTACAAGATAAGCAGTCATTTATATACACTGTCACTTTTTGTCTTACTGAAATATTGGTGAAAATATTTCAAGTGACATCAAAGGAGTCAAAGTTCAGTGAAAATTAAAAGGAGTGTGTTGCCAGTTACCTAATTTCATTGGCAGTTGGGTGAGTTCACACGGATGCTTGCATGCTGGCCTTTGGTACTACAGCAAACTGACCCTTCAGAGCCGGCAAGGATTTTTCATGCAGACAGGGTCTTTTTTTTTTTTTTTTTTTTTTTTTTTTTAAGAGACTGAGTCTCCAGCTGTCCCCCTGGGCAGAGTGCTGTGGCATTACAGCTCACAGCAACCTCCAACTCCTGGGCTCAAGCGAGTCTCCTGCCTCAGCCTCCCAAGTAGCTGGGACCACAGGCGCCTGCCACAACGCCCGGCTATTTTTTGGTTGCAGCCATCATTGTTGTTTGGCAGGTCCGGGCTGGGGATTCGAACCCGCCACCTTAGGTGTACGTGGCTGGCGCCTTAGCCAGTTGAGCTATAGGCGCCGAGCCAGACAGGGTCTTGCTCTGTCCATCACACCCAGCAAATTTTTGGTAAAGACAAGGTCTTGTTCTTGGTCAGGCCGGTCTCAAACTCCTGAGCTCAAGTTGATCTCCCACTCTGTCTTCCCAGAGTGCTAAGATTACAGGTGTCAACCAGCACACCCATCCTCACCCTCCTTCTTATAGGGATACAAACGATTGCATTTAGGGTCTATCTAGATAATCCACAATAATTTCCCCATCTTAAAACCTTAATTCACTCATCTACAAAGACCCTGGCGGCAAGGAGCTATTGACATTAAACATAAGATGCTTTTCATTCCAGAAATGTAAAAGTGTGAGAAATATGGGAATTATGATCAAGAAAATGTCTAGTTTAAAATATTTTCAGTTTAGGCTTGTTGCCTGTAGCTCAGCAGCTAGGGCACCAAACACATACATTGGAGCTGGCAGGTTCGAACCCAGCCCAGGCCTGCCAAATAAAAATGACAACTACAACAACAACACAAAAATAACCAGGCATTGTGGCGGGTGTCTATACTCCCAGCTACTTGGGAGGCTGAGGCAAGCAAATTGTTTAAGACCAAGAGTTTGAGGTTGCTGTGAGCTGTGATGCTACGGCACTCTACCAAGAGTGACATGGTAAGACTCGATTTTTTTTTTTCCAGTTTAAACATGAGGAAGATCTATTTTCTTTCTTTCTTTCCTTTCTTTTTTTTTTTTAAGAGACAGAGTCTGACTTTATTGCCCTCAGTAAAGTGCCATGGCGTCACAGCTCTCAGCAACCTCCAATTCCTGGGCTTAGGCGATTCTTTTGCCTCAACCTTTCGAGTAGCTGGGACTACAGGCGCCTGCTACAACGCCTAGCTATTTTTTGTTGCAGTTTGGCTGGGGCTGAGTTTGAACCTGCCACCCTCAGTATGTGGGGTCAACACCCTACCCACTGAGTCACAGGCGCTGCCCGAGGAAGATCTGTTTTCATTGTCCAGAGGAAAGTTCCACCCAGTTGTGTCTGGGTATAGGCCTGTATCAGCAAAGCTTGTTTTGGGGGAAGTGCAGTGAATATAATGACTGAGTCACTAATCCCAGATGGCAGAGGGAGGATTGCAGACAGCTTGGCACCAAGAGGGTTGCAAGTAAAGACAAATATCTCCTTTTCCCTTTTGTACTTTGGGGATTCACCACACTTCTACTTGTTGATGGGTTTTTCTGTTCATATATATGTGTTTCCTATGCTTTATTACAATTCTCATCTTTCTGTTGTCAGTTCCATTAGCAGATACCAGATCCTGCCATTAATTAATAATAAAGTATACCAAAAATTAGTTTCTATCAAGAAACAAGAACTAATTGTCTTTATTTTTTAGGGTTCCCATGCTGACCTGCCCGCCTTTGCCATGACTCTGGTGAGGTGCCTTAGGGGTGGCTCAGCCGGTAGGGAGTAGTCCCTCCATTCCTGGGACCACCCCTCAGCCTCCTGGCACCCACCCTACCCCAGTCTCTCAGGCCTAGATTGAAGGTCGTAATAGTCAGACTTACACAAGGCTTTGGGCTGAAAGCCTTATATTCAAGCTGGTACTGTTTTTACCTTAAACACCTTTTTTGAAATACGTTAATATCAGCATTCTAAGAACAGTTATGTGTACAGTCATGTGTCACATGACTATGGCCATACGTTCTGAGAAATATTTCATTAGGTGATTTCGTTGTGGTTCTGATACCGTGGAGTGTTTCCACAGACCTAAATGGTGCGGCCTGCTGCACCCCTAGGCCCTGTGGTTTAGCCTAGTGCTCCTAAGCCTAGGAGCAAACCTGTACAGCACATAATTGTACTGAGTAGTGTAGGCGGTTGTGGTACAATGGTGGGCGTTTGTGTATTTAAACATATCTAAACATTGACTAGGTACTATAAAAATGTGGTATTATAATCTTACCATTTTACGGGATGGACCACCATGGTACATGCATTTGGTTGGTTGTTGACCGAAAGGTTATTATTTGGCTCATAACTGTATTCCAAGATTAGTTGTGCCTGTCTGTCTGTAAAGCATGTTGTTGATGTCCGAATTCCTCTTGGTCTTTTTACTCTCTAGGTATTAACTGTCTGCCAGGGGTTGAACAGGGTGTGTCTCTCACATTCCTATATTCCCACCCTGTCTGGTTGTCTTTTTTTTTTTTTTGAGACCGAATCTCACTGACATCACAGCTCTCAGCAACCTCAAACTGTTGGGCTCAAGTGATTCTCTTACCTCAGCTTCCCAAGTAGCTGGGACTATAAGCACCGGCCAAAATGCCCAGCTATTTTTTAAATTGCAGTTGTCGTTGTTTGGCAGGCCCAGGCTGGATTTGAACCCACCAGCTTCAGTGTATGTGGCTGGTGCCCTTAGCCTCTGAGCTACAGGTGCTGAGCTCCTGTCCCGTCTGCTATGTGTAATTCCTTTGCTAAGTTTGTTTTCTCGATTTCTCTTCATTTCACACTTCCTTGCTTGTCCCTATGCCATAGCTAATCTCTTTGTATCTGTTGTGTATAGCGAGTCAGTTTGGGACTTAAATACCAGATTTGGTATGTGATTGTCGATTATTGATTCTAACTTTAACTTCTGCAAACGTACGCCTGTGATTATGTTTATTTGTGTCTCAGAGAATAATCATTACTGATAATAACAGTGCTTCACGGCTCGGCGCCTATAGCTCAACCGGCTAAGGCGCCAGCCACGTACACCTAAGGTGGCGGGTTCGAGTCCCCAGCCCGGACCCGCCAAACAACAATGACGGCTGCAACCAAAAAATAGCCGGGCGTTGTGGCGGGCGCCTGTGGTCCCAGCTACTTGGGAGGCGGAGGCAGGAGACTCGCTTGAGCCCAGGAGATGGAGGTTGCTGTGAGCTGTAATGCCACGGCACTCTGCCCAGGGGGACAGCTTGAGGCTCTGTCTCAAAAAAAAAAAAAAAAAAAAAAAAAAACAGTGCTTCACACTGTGTCTTGCCTGTTTTTTACAAAGCATTTCCATGTTACTGCAAATGAGATCGAGGTTCCAGGTTCAGGTAATAAGCAGTAGGATTGGGACTAGAAACCAAGTCTGATTATTGATAGTGCAAGATTTTTGTTTTGTTTTTGTTTTTACTATACCACTTTGCCTAGTTCACTGATAGTTTTGGAAATGTTTATATTGATAGCAAATATATTCCTATCTCTTTTAAACTGTTTTTCTAAGCTCCCATCCTTAGGACTTCCAGCATAGATCTTAAAAGGCTTCATCCAGCAGATGTATATATTGTATCTATTCATCTAGCCGATGAAGCCTTTCAAGATCTGTGCTAGAAGTCATAAGGATGAGGGATATTTTGTTAGTCCCTTACAAGGTGATGGCATAATCTGGCTGTAGCCTTCAGTTCTGTCCAAGCAATGCCAGTCAGTTGGGTTCAGTACCTGGGCTATCCCTTCACATACCGAGCACTGGGTAGCAGTTCTTAGTCCTCTTGGTCTTATAAGTTCCCCTCTCTGGTAAGAATAGGTCCCCTTCTTAAGTCTATAAAATATTTACCCCAAACTACCATTGTTGGGCATGGAGCAGGTGAAAGGATCAGGCAGCTCCAGTCCCCGCTTCATGGGTGTTTGTGCTTCGTCCTGGGCTCAGGGATCCTAACAGGCTTTCTGCTGCAGAACTGCAAACTCTGTCAAAAAGAAGTAAGAAGAGGGAAGAATCATCTTTTTTTTTTTTTTTCCCTCTTCTCCAAAGTTTGGGAGCCTCTGGCGGAACAAGTAATTGGGATTCCTACAGTGACCATTTTACCATTGAAACCTGCAAGGAGACAGATATGCTGAACTACCTCATCGAGTGTTTTGACCGAGTTGGAATAGAGGAAAAAAAAGCACCAAAGGTAATGGGAAATAGAGTTGATTTTTTTTTTTTTAAATCCCGGTTATTTGTGTGATGAATAATGCCCCAGGAGCATTTATTCATTTATTTAATCAGTAAAGTAGTTACTAAGTATCTGCTGTGTGCCAGGCACTGTGCTAGGAACGTGGACTCTTACCACTGAACAAAACAGAGATCCCTGCCCTCATGGCACTCACTAGTGGAGGGAAGAAGTGACAGGCCCAAAATGTGAACCCAGGTGGCCTTGCTTCAGAGTCCTCTCTCGACTGTGTTGTGGCTGGGTGCACAGGGCCCTGGTAATCTTTGACAGTCTGTCATGATCACCATAATGGAACCCCTGTTGACCACCAAGGTCTGTGCCAAGTCTACACTAACTTGTTCTCTCAGGAGCTCAGTTAGTGCAGTGGAACCCAGGACCGTATAGGTATTCTTCCTCCATTGTATGAATCAGCAAATGAAACTCAGAGAGATTACATGTAACTGTCCAGAATCACAGAGCAATCACATAAGCGTCAAGTCGCAAGGCCACGTTTAAACTCACAGTAAGCTATACCTTTCCACCTATTTTGTGCTGACCGACTTCATTGCTTTCTTATTTTATTCCCATTTTCTGGTTCTATCATAGTTTTAAACTGCAGTTGTTCTCTGGTTAGTTTCATATTTATGAAAGACCTCTTTGTGGCTTGAAAGCACAGAGAGCAAGCATAGCTCCGAGCTTACTCAGGATCCCCTCAGCCCTCCACTTTGTTCTTCTCTGACCATTGCTTTCACCAGAGGCCTTATGCTTGGAAGACACAGTTACTGTAGCTTGTTCATTATGAATAAAAAAAGAGAAAGAGGGCTGGGCACAGCAGCTCATACCTGTGATCCCAGCACTCTGGGAGGCCAAGGTGGGTGGATTGCTTGAGCCCATGAGTTGGAGACCAGTCTAAGCAAGAGCAAGACCTCATTTCTAATAAAAGTAAAAAACCTAGCCAGGCGTTGTTGTGGGCACCTATAGTCCCAGCTACCTGGGAGGCTGAGGCGGGAGGATTGCTCAAGCCCAAAAATTGAAGGTTCCTGTGAGCTATGACACCACTATGGTCTACTCAGGGTGACCAAGTGAAACTCTGTTTGAAAAAAAATAAAAAGAAGAGAAAAGTGCATTTTCTGACCCTCAGTGTCTCTGGCTCTTGTCGGTTTTCAGCAGCACAGGATTATTGTGCGTGTTTCTTGCCCTCGTAACTGCCGCCTTTCTTTTTCAGATGTGCAGCCAGCCAGCAGTCAGCCAGCTTCTGAGCAACATCCGCTCGCAGTGCATATCCCACACCGCATTAGTGCTGCAAGGCTCCCTGACACAGCCGAGGTGGGAAGAACCATTGTATGTTTGATGTTAGAAGACCAAGGGACCTGACTGTCAGTGGGCATCAGGCTGTCCAGCCATTCAACACTACCTTGGATAACTATCTTCTTCATCATAACAGTATTTGATTAAATGATTCCTGAGGTTCCTTTCTGTCTCTAAAATACTATGAAAATAAAGCATCCTTTCTTCCTCATCTTCTAAAGTAGTGCAAAGCATATTTTAAAAAGAAATTAGGGCCAGGTGCAATGGCTCATGCCTGTGATCCCAATACTTTGAGAGGCCACAGCAGGAAGGTTGATTGAAGCAGGAGTTCAAGACCAGCTTGGGCAACATAGCAAGACCCTGTCTGTACAGAATATAAGAAAAATTGGCAGGGTATGGTGGCACACACCTGCAGTCCCAGCTGCTTTGCAGGAGGATTGGCTGAGCCCAGGAATTCTAGGGTGCAGTGAGCTGTGATTGCCCCACTGTACTCCAGCCTGGACAACAGAGTGAGATCCCATTGCTTAAAAAAAAAAAAAGGAATAAAAAATTAGTTATGTTTTAAGAGCTCTGTGTGCTTGTTGAAATAGTTTGACATCAAGGCAGAAAATTAGTAATTTAGTTTAAAAGCAACTGCTTTTAAATGTGTAAATCATTACCTCTTGTGTACCACACAATCAATTTCTGTCATTCGGTAATAAAGAACAGTAATGGAATGGATAATTTGTGAAATCACCCAGAGTATTACATTATTTCTTTGTTTTTGAGAGCTCCATAAAAGTTTTAAGTTTTTAGAAGTAGAATATACTTTATTTCTTTTATGCAGAAAATATCTAAAGGATTTTAGTTATGATTCATTTAGTATATATTCATTTACAATTAGTAAGTTACATTTATTCATACTCGGTGTTCAGAATGAATAAATATTTTTTGAATGTTTTCATTCATTTTTTTTTTTTGAGACAGAATCTCACTATGTTGCACTCAGTAGAGTGCTATGGCGTCACAGCTCACAGCAACCTCAAACTCTTTGCTCAAGCAGTTCTCTTCCTCAGCCTCCCAAGTAGCTGGAACTACAGGCACCCACCACATGCCCAGCTATTTTTTTGTTGCAGTTGTCATTGTTGTTTAGCTGGCCCAGGCCAGGTTTGGATGCACCAGGTTTGGACACGCCAGCCTGGGTGTATAGCTATGGGTGCCACCATGAATCTTTTCAAAAAGTAGGAAAATTGTGTAGATGAAGCAAAACTCAAAAAATGTTTTGTGGTTAAAATTCATAATGAAATTTTTTTTTTTTTTTTTTTTGAGA